CCGCCACTGCGACTGTGATGTTGTTTTGATTTTGACGTTTTGTTTTTCTTGTATTCAAAAGAGAGTTAGATCTAATGACATTCAAAAAAGCCATTGTTAATGGAGAGAGGCTGATGTATAACCTGGATGCCATCGTGGTAAGAAATTCCAAGACGTTACATGCAAAATCTTGTTGTCAGAGCTAACTCTTTTTACATGCCTTGTAGATACATCAAGACCCACATGCCAACGAAGGACATTGTAAATGATAGCAAGTATTAGATATACATACACAAATTGTACAGAAATAATATTTGGAAAAATGTTGTATTTTAATGTGAATAATTGTAATACACAATGAATGAACATGATCTTTAGTGACTTTATAATGTGTCCTTTTCTTGTTCATGGGATAGCAAACTTGAGATAGCAAGGGCTCTTTGGACTAAATTGCGCAAATTGATGAAATATTTTACTCGATAGAACAAATTGTTGAAAATATTCTAGGTGCTTGAAGAAAACATGGCTTAGCCGACTGCGGCGAAAGAAAATTACTATTACATTAGTATATAAAGCATCGCAACCTCGTGGCACACCCTTGCACCTTGAGTTTTTCGTCGGTTTATCATTGAGAGGGCGGGCTTCAAGCTCATTCTTTTGTTCAATTATTCTTGTCTTCCTGAACTCCTCTCATTCAAAGCCAAAAAAGCGTATGGTATGATGTTTATGTAAGGATCCCCTCAATGAAATCCTGAATCCGACAATGAAATAATAGTTTTATTTGCTGGCGAAGGTTCAATTAACCATTTTTGTTTTAGTGAAACTGAGAGGAATAACAATCTCAGCACTCAACTAAAAAAGACTGAACAAAGGTCTACCGATGAAAAAGTGTTGATTGCAAGCATTTAGCGAAATAATGAGACACATTAGTGCACATGATAGTTTCAGATATTGCACTTGCTCCGTGGACGCCAAGATGGTTAGAAAAATTTTCTCAATCATGCTTATCGCTTTGTTTATCAAATCATAGCGGGATTATGTGTGTCCAATACAGAGGACTGATCTAAGTGGGTTGGCACGGTTGACCGGGATATGCCGGGTTTCCTTTGTTTTTATTGTGCCCGCCAGGGAAAAGAAAACAGCCCTAACACAAGGTTTTTATTCTTGGTGTGCAACCACATGACCAGGAATCCCCTGAGAAATAAAGAACGAAGCTATCGCCGTCATGTTGGATGAATGAACACGAGAAACTAATAGTGAGAAATGCTTTGTGATTTTCATCCAACATGGCGGTTATGACGTAACTTGCACACCAAGAATATGATCCATAGTTTGTTATAGATATGATCTTGAAGAAGGCATTCCAATGTCCCGTAGCGGATTATATTCCCGTTCTTTCATGTGCAAAAGCATTAAACGTTTGCTATGATCGGCTTTGGCCGTTTTTTAGTGACCACCCATTCTCAAATTATTCATCCACCTCTCCCTAAACAAATTCTCATATTCTGGTGATTCACAAAGTTGATCAAAAGGAATCCCGAGTTACACACAGGTATTTCACGCAGCTATGCGTCTAAATGAATAATGTTGCTGTCACGATTTCTAAATGCATGCAATTCAATGGCATTTTGTTGTCAAGCGTCAGATGCTTCTGATGAAACATTTCAAAACAATTTTATTCCAGCGTGCTGCACTTGCATTATACTGTGAAAAGGTCGTCACGTTGCTCACTCGGGGTCGAGCTGAGCTCAGGTGAACATGTGCTCTTATATCATGTCGAAGTGTTCATAGTTCTACCGAACAATTTGCTTTTAAAAAGCAGATACTCTGATACAGAGGACTAATGGCAAATGCTGGAAAGAGAATTACAACGTTCGGCAAAGCCTGAAGAACCAAGTAAGTCGCTCGCTATAGTTTTAAAAACGCATATAGTATTGATATTAATGAACTTTACAATACCCTTCGCTCTGAGCAAAATGAACTACACATTAAATTGCTCTTTCTTTTCCTTCGACAGGAAAAATATGTCATGAGAGACAATTTCTCAAGCTGTCCATGGAACGGCACTCAATTGGAGTTCTCTCGTCGAGCATCAATAACGCGGTTCCCGAGAATAAGAGCATAAGATGGCAGAGGCAAAAAAACAGCATTAGTAACGAAAAAAGGAAAGGAAAAGTGCAACTCGAACGGTAAATGTTTTTTAAATCATACAACTTCTTGACATCTAAAATAGTTATTGGGTGTTATAGTTCTTTTTGGCATGGGTATTTTACCTGTGTTAGCCGGGCTTTGATAACCAATTTATTGAAAATTTCAACTCTAATACCTGCATTGACTGTCAAAAGCGTAAGGAATATGTTTGAAATGAATATAGATAAAATACACTAAATTTCGGACCCTTGTCTGGTAAACGTTTCAAATTCGCGCCATATTCCACCACAGGTGGTGGTTGCCCCGGCCACATGGGCTTCCTGACTCCATCCCAGCATGCATTGTGTTCTCGGAAAAGCAAAATGGCGCGAAGCGTGCACACTTTACTTCAGTGATATTTAACGGGGTATATCGAGCACTTGCATGCTCTTCACCTTCAAATTTTGGAAATTATTGTGATAAGGCTTTGCATCTACCGTCAAAGAATAAGTATAAGAAATTATAGAGTCAAATAGCAAAAGGTAGGCAGATTTTGAACAGTATTATTTGGGAACCTGTGGTACGCCATTGCTTGCCATTTCAAGAACTAAGAGTGTGGACCGCATGTTTTTACTTTCGTAAGCTTTTACTATCAAGTTTTTTATCGCGTTGTATATTATGAAGTTTGTTAGAAATAGGAATTCGTGTAAAAGTACAGAATCGTGTTTGTAGCATCTTTAATAACGGCGCTACATTCACATTGGATGGGGGCGAATAGCCAGAAGGGGCGGGGTGATGGTGAAAAGAGGGGGGGGGGGGGGGGGGGGGAGTTAATGAGGAGCCTGCTACCCCAAACTATTGAACTTGCCGAGACAATATAATAATTTCACTAAATTCCCGGGGGATGCTTTGCTACATAAATTAACATGTTTGCAATGCAAATGCACCTCCACAATATTTAATAATTTTAGTTTATGAACTTAATGTAAAGCCAGTAGCAGTATACAGAAGAAAATGATAATGTTGGTGGTAGTGGTAGTACATGTACTCATCAATAGTTCTCTCTTCATTTTAGATATTTTTAATGAATAATCTTCAAAGGACCTGTGCAAGATTTTGAGTGATGAAAGTAAAGAATGGATATATCTATCACCACAAACTGGAGAATGCTTGGAGCAAACTGGCAAGATATCAGCATTGGTGCAAACCCTCAATTTTCTAAAGAAGCCTGAATTGCTGAAAACGTCCATAATAAGACACAGTTACTGCAGATTCAAGTTGGTGTTTTGTCTACATTGTAATTTCATTCTACCTACAATATATTATATACTTCAACTTGATGCTGAATCTCCAATATTTCCAGGAAGGTAATAACAATACTTCGATATTATCAATAATTTTTTTCCATTATTAGACACTAAAATTCTATCTGTTCTCTCTACAGCAAAGACATCTCTAGTATGCGTAACAAGGGTTTCATAAGTGCAATACAATTCCTGGGTCCCATGGCTTCTGTTTAGTACCTAACTTAGAATTAAGGTAATGATTATAATACATGGATATTATCAATAATTATTGATCACTCATTCTATCTTCTCTTCTCTTTTAGCAAAGACATGGGTAATGGTACGTTTTTATAAGTGGAAGAAATACAATTCCTGAATCCCTTGGTTTCTGCCTAGTATTCAACTCAGAATGAAGGTAATTACAATAGTTTATTATCAATATTTTAACATCATTAAACTGCTTTGAAGTATAAATCTTTCACCAATTAAAATGCTGATTCTACATTCTTTTCTAGCAAGGGCATTAAAATTATATCAAGCAAGAGCTTCGTGGTTTCCCATTCTGTTAGCAAGAGGAACTTCTACTGAAAGATTCTATATTCTCAAGAGTTCTTCTGACATTTATGTTGACATGTTGGTGGAAGGAGAGAAAAGTCGAGCATTGTCTAAAGGTACTTGTAACTTATTGAATAATGTTTTATGGTATGATTTTGCTTAGGTGCTCCATATGCAATGTAATATTAAATGTTGTGTTAAACTAACTCTACTCTATGTATCTAATTTTTTAGGGTTATTGCAATGCTACTATACTAAAGGAAGAATAATTTATACAGTATTTTCAATACCCAAGAAGAGCAATTAAAGACACCAATTTAGCAGCAAGATAGGTATGATTGCATAGGTGATAAATGATCAGTGGACGCACTAAATCAGTGCTGCAAAATATTTGTGATAACTTAGTGTCGTTAAATTGACAAAAGGAAACAAAGGAATTGTGCTTTTGCAGTTATACTGCACTGTTTCGAAGATTAAGTGCATTAATTCAACTTGCTTTTTGCACAACATGTACATAACACTAAACAAGGCCAACCTCTGTATAGTAAACATATATGGTGTCTTGTCCATGATTTTGTTAAAAGTTGTATAAAGGTGACGTGTGCAAAAAAACAATGCATACTTTTAATGAAGCTACATGTATAGGCATCCTTAAAGGATTTGTAATATGGTGCACAGATCTGTTCATGCAAATATTTTGAATGAGAATTAATGTATGAATGGTATTACAGAACTGTCAATATGAATTGTATTTTGGTTTTCTCATCCATATCATCTACAGCCATCTATTGCAAGTCAACTGCAAAATGTTGAAATTTTCTTCCTTTTATTGCAGGTTGTTCATAACCAAATGAGACTAAAATTAACTATGGCAGCTAAATACTCCCAAGTAAAGTATTAAGACAGTGCATCGGAATTCCTTCAATCTCATCATTTTTGCAATATTGATGATGTACAGGGGTAACTAAATACAGGTATGCAAGTGCAAGCTGCATTATTGCAAGTGTCAGTAATGAGTTACAGTTGTGATAATAAGATGAGTCAAAGCACCTGGTGATCAGTGTTCAACTGGGTTACTATTCCCTGACATACTGTCATAATCTATTTACTGGTTCCTGTACAGTATGAGCTAGTATGGATGCACAGATATCAGTCTTTAAATCCAGTTCATATAACTTGATTGAGCATCAACAAATAATAATTTTCAGAAGAACAATCTTTTCATCGGATTTTGGATGAAAATATCAGAAAAACAAATTATAAAGAAATTTTTTCTATTTATCTTGAGAAATAAGTCGGTTTTTAAACAGAAAAATTAGATAAAAATTATATTACATTGTAAGTTCCTACATGTAGGTTGATGAAATATTATAATTAATGTGGATTCAATACAAAACAAAACAAAATGTACCTTTCGATTTTCATTGGTAGGCAATTTTTCTTGTTGAGGCTGCCATACCTCATGATGATGATGTCCATTATGGCAATTTCTGCCTTGATGAATCTACGCGAGCAAAGAAAAGATAAAGTGTTTAACACAACAACATTTTATACACTGATTTTGAGCGTATCTCAGAAATGCTTACCACAATTCCTTGAAGGGTGTACGATGCACTCTCTCCATGCTTGATTGATCCGGAAAGTCGAGTTTTCTTTCTATTTTAATTGGTCGGCAATTTTTCTTTTCTAGCCCATATCTCATCATAACTAAAAAAAGTGTGGACGGGTAGAGTAGAATAGGCCTAACCCTACCAGTTTTAGTGTTTTTCTTGCATCTGTCGCAGTACCTGTCAACAAAAATATTTTTGCCATCGAGGTCATACCTCCTCATTACCAAATAAAGAGTGGCGGGAGGGAATAGAGTAGGCCCAATCCTAACGGTTTTTGTTTTTATCTTGCAACTGTCGCAGTACCGACAACAAAAATATAGTTAACAAATTTACACTGGAATGTGTTGGAACATATTGGAAAGTCAATTACTTGTTGCAAAAACTGCCCTTAATCATTCATCAAATTATATTTTAGTTTTTTGTTCCTTTGAGATCCATAGCAAGAATGTTTATAAGTAGTGATTATCACATATTGACAAATAGTATATATTAGTCATAAATTATAGCAATTATTGTAGTAATTCTTACCACTATTCCATATGAAGGGTGTATGATACCTTTTCCATTGGTTGTAGAAGAAATTTGGTCAGTTCCACATTTCTTTCGATTTCTTTTTCTTGATCAATTATAATACAAGGTTCTCACACTTTTTCTCCATCAATCTTTTCCTGGTGGTCCATGAAGGGCTCCTTTTCATCAAGAAGAATCGACCGATGAATGTTTACATGTTTATAGGCAACTGTAAAGTGAAGAAAATAAGCAATTAGATCAATATCGCATTGCCTGCATCATGAGAGGTCTGCGTGGTGCTCTAGTTAGCTAGAGTCACCTAATGGGGACTGCTAGTGCTAAATACTGTATCAATTCGAGTAATCAAATTTGTTTTTTTTCCACAAACAATGTTGTATGGCTCTCTCGAGGTTAATGGAGACCCATTCATCTACCTCAAGAGCATACCCCCTCTCTGCCAGTTGGGCATACTGCAGAAATTCCCTGTTAATTTAAATATTTGAAATAAGAATTCTATCAGAATAGTTTTTTGGCGAAGTTTTGTTTTCTTAGACACACAGATTTGGGGTTTGATATCAGCGGAATGATCACTAAATAAATTTCACCAGGCTGGTGATTTTACTGATGACCAAATGTACTAAAGATATGGTGATTTATTGTAAAGATTCCGTGGCCATCAATAATCAATCAAATCAATAATTAATGTTTAATCAATTAAGAGACAAACAAAGTTGTAGAAGTGATGTACAGTGTAATTTATAAGTCCAGAAGTGAACCAGTAAAGACCTCTTTGATCATAAATGATCTTAATAACTGCATGTCCAGTTATAAAAAAAAATTGGTCAAGTATTAAAATATAAGGGTACCAATAATGACCTAAATCAAAATAATTAATCAAATCAAATGCTCAATGTTGATTAATTTATGTAGTTTCAGAAATACTAAATTGTGGTAAGGGGTAGAAATATAACACCCAATGGAAACCTCAACGTGAGATATCAGGACACGGGTTTGTGCTCTTGATGAGCTTTAGTAACGTTTTGAAAAATATAGAAGGTCATACTTGCTTGATCAAAATCGAAAGACTTTTTGAAAGTGACGTATTGTGCGAACTGAAAAAAAGGCGAAACAACACAGCAAGTTTTAGTTGTGTTAAGGTTACCCCGGACACTATTTTCGTCAAATCTTTCAAAATTTTTAAATTAGTCTGAGCGAATTAAAAGAAGTATATCTACAACTTTGACTAAAGTTTATGCCGATGTATTTTTTTCTAAACTAGTTATAAACAAAAAACGTTTTGAGGTTCTCTGAAACGTGTTTTACTGCTGACTGCGGCTGTCATCGTAAGTCTTGGCGAATTAATAGTCACGTTATGAAAGCACGACGGGGTCACATAACATCACAAACTTCACATCAAGAGATATAAAGACCAAAGCGATACTTATTCCACTGTATACTTGAAAATATCCTTTGCCAAGGCCTTTGGGATTCACCATTTTGAGAAAACTTACTGAAAATTATTACTATTCGCAGCACAGTCTGCGAAGAAGGTCAAACAACAAGGTCACGTTTGCTGAATATGCTCTCCCACCGTTCTTGTATCGTATTTCTTCCTTATGCTTATTGGCTACCGAACGAGTACGCTTGTCAACACTTGATCCCTAATTCTTTAATCCCATTAAACTTCAACTTCATGTTTCGTAAAAGTAGATTTCGATAAAATACTAAAATTCAACGGTTCGTTTGCAGAACTTATCAGACGAATTTCCTCTAAATTTTGCATATCGATTCGGACATTACTGAATTTTTAAAGTGTGTCTGCGTTTTTCTTTTTAAGTTTTCTTTGTYGAGAAATAAACAGTTTTGTGAGGGATGAGGTAAAATAGGGCCTAGTCTAACTTTAAAATCGAATAAAAAAATAACGAAGCGTTGAAAAGCCAAACGCAGACACACTTTTGCAGAACAATGCCTTGGTAACAGGATTATCAAAAAAGTTTATCTTTCTACGTAAAACCTTGTGCAAACGAATCTCTCGCACGGAGACACTGTGTTCTCGTCAAGTCCTTGATGTCTTTTAGAATAATCAATTTTATCAAAAMAWAMGTCCAGATATGGATTCTTTGTCATTTTGTTTCTCAGAAAATGTATGATTTTTGCGGGTTTCCTATTAAATCGCGCGAGATATGATTTTTTTTTAAACACCTCCCGGTAGTGTCCGGGGTAACCTTAACGCGATTTGGTGGTCGTGGTATTCCACTATATATTAGGGAACGGAGAAACGAAACCATGCAAGTTGTCGAGTAAAATCTGTTCTGAACCAAAGTAGCAGTACAAATTGCATTAAAAGTTTAATTACTATACATTTATATCTATTGGAATCCATGCTATTTTTAAAAATGTGTGATTGAAAAAAGTGCATGAATTCGAAATTGATTATGGAAGTTAAACGATAAATTATGGTGAAAGATAGCTAAGACACATGTTTTTATACCAATTTTTAGTGTTCATAATGGAAAAACCAACCTTGCACACAAAAACACCACAATCGTAATCGTTGGTTTGCCTTGGGTAGCCCTACAAGAATGAGAATGAATATTGTCATTTATCCACACTTCGATTCAAGAGAATCCTAACCAACCACAATACAGAGCTTATATGTATTATTGTAAAGGTTCCGTTGCCAAAAGTACAATATTCAATAAGTTAAAGTGTTATTTACTCTGATCTACTGCTAGTATTTTAAAACAAAAATCATGGTATTCTCATTATTAAGGCTCTTTAAGCTCACTTACATGGATTCTTGTACAATTTCGTGGTCTGGACATCCAGACAGGGAATCCATATGAAGTATTTCTTTTGCCCTTATATCTCTCTATAACCTGCAGGAGAGAGCAATGCGCTTTTTACTATCAAATTATAAATCAGCTGACAACCTACAGATGTTAATTGAATTTTGGGTAGACTAGAGCTTGGCTATATATAACTTAGAGGATCCTACAGGATGGGCGTGGCTAACCACCCCTAATGGATCCTCCCTTGCCCCAGAGTACTAAAATTGCGTTTCACTGAAACTTACCACAAAGTGTCCAATGACTGTTCCTATTGAAAGGTACGAGCACTATTTCATTGGCAAAAATTCGATAAGGTCTGTAAACAAAGACAGTTATAAGTTATTTATTCACGATTATATAAACTTCACATTAAGCATTGAAAATTCAAATATTAAGTATAGATAATGCCAATAAGTATTGATAATTCCAATAAGTATTGATAGTTCAAATATTAAGTATTAATAATACCAATAAGTATTGATAATTCCAATAAGTATAGATAATTCCAATAAGTATTGATAATTCCAATAAGTATTGATAATTCCAATAAGTATTGATAATTCCAATAAGTATTGATAATTCCAATAAGTATTGATAATTCCAATAAGTATTGATAATTCCAATAAGTATTGATAATTCCAATAAGTATTGATAATTCCAATAAGTACTGATAGTTCAAATATTAAGTATTAATAATTCCAAATAGTATTGATAATACATTTATAAGTATTGATAATTCAAATAAGATCATCATTTAGTAATACCAGTATTGTTGAAAGCTTTAATGTCCTGTATAACATTCTTTATTATTCTATATCTGTTTTTATTATTTTTGATGCTTCTCACTGCATCTTGAGTTCTGCTTTTACATTACAACCCGTGTGGTTGCATGCACACGATCCTTGGAAAAATATGGACTTTCTTTTCTGCAAATTTTTAGCTTTTACATAGTTACTTCGAAATACAAAGAAACATAGCGGCATGGACATTTCAGAAAATGCTTCTTACACCCAAATTAACAAGTAGCATGCTTTATTGCTTAGGGTGCTTTCTTAGGATGTCATACCATGGCCTTTTTTTATTAGAACATTGATTTCTTGTTGCATATTGCATGGAAAGACAATGGATTGCATTGACAAGAAATTGCTCTAATCATTTATCAGCTTATATTTTGTTCTAATTTTTTCTTAACGATTTTTCAAATAGAAAATTTATTCTGGACAGAGATAATAGAATTAATAATATGTAATTGCAATATTGTAACTCACACTTTGTTTTGCCCGTCAAGTATTTCGTCCTCGAAATATTGGTTCAGTGCCTCATTAATTGTTGGGGCAACCGGCAGGATTAGGCCATTAAATCTTTCGAGATCGCATTGGGTCTGTGATGTACAGATGATGTGGAAAAGTCATTAATACTTTTTGTAATCATGTCTATTTAGCAAAAGGATATTAGACTAATACAGCTATTTCAAAAGAAATTGAGACATTACATGACCGAAATGGCTTGCTCTATTTGACATGCAAAATTTCAACAGATCTTAAAGTTATTCAGTATTTCCAACAAATTAAAGCAAAACCCAAGGCTCCTAATTTTTTAAAAAGAAAATTTATTCAGGATAGAGATAATAGAATGTATAGTATGTAAAATTGTATCTCGCACTTTGTTTTCGCCGTCAAGTATTTTGTCCTCGAAATATTGGCATAGAGAAGCATTGATGCTTTCCGAAACCGGCAGGATTATGCCATTAAAACTTTCAAGTTCGCATGGGGTCTATTTTATTTTATATTTCTGTTTTTATTATATTTGATGCTTCTGACTAGTTCATCTGCAGTTGTGCTTTGACATCACAATGATACATATGACTGCACACACGTGAACCTTGGAAGAATATGGCATTTCTCTTGCGCGAATTTTCAGCTTTTGCATAGTTCCTTAAATGCAAAGGAATCCATTTCTGGTCTCTTTTGTTGTGATTAATAGATAGCCATAGATGGCCTTATTGTTAAGCCATGTGTCTTTTAAGATCGATACTACTAAGGTTTTTTGGACATACCATTTCTCTGGTCACTTTCGTTATGTCCTGGATTTAAAGACTGATATCTGTGAATCCATTCTAGCTCATACTGTACAGGAACCAGTAAATAGATTATGACAGTATGTCAGGGAATAGTAACCCAGTTGAACACTAATCACCAGGTGGTTTGATTCATCTTATTATCACAACTGTAACTCATTACTGACACTTGCAATAATGCAGCTTGCACTCGCATAGCTMCAGGTTATCTCTGCATTAACGTTAAAGAGTGGTTTCAAAACCAATGAATCAGTTTGTACCATTAATTTCTAATCTCTCTTTGACTGTAAAAGAAAATTTGTTTTTGTGATTATTATGCACTGATTAAATAAAACTGAGATTGAAGACAGAATAATACACTTACCTTATTTTGTGGGGTATTTAGCAATGACAAACAGTAATAAAATAGAATTCAAAAATAGGGAAAGATGATATTATTATCTCWCAAATAAGAARATAGAGATTACATATTTCAGAATTGAAAAAAAAATTAGAGTAATTTTATTGGGATTTAGGAATGTCTAAAGATGATATTTATTATCATCAAATACAAAAATATAAATGAAATCAAGAAGTATTTAGGATTAGGAAAAGTTTATATACTAGATTTTTTGCTCAAATATATCTTCATTATCTAAGATGATTATTAGCATTTCCACAATATGAGATGCAATGTATATTTATCAGTAATAGTGATAAAATGATGATAAGGAAATAATCTAAAATATTTGATATTTATCAAGAAAAATCTTGAGAGACACGGCCTATGCGTGTCTTTCCTTAAGTTGTAAATATGAAAAAAATCATCTTGAGAGACACGGCCTATGCTTGTCTTTCCTTAAGTTGTAAATA